ACCATCTTTGTGTACAAAGGGTAGCCCAGCACACTTGTTTATTTAATAACAGGGTTGTCGATTTTGGAAATGTTTAGGATGCTCTTGGGGCCAAGTTTTGGTAGGTTGTAAGCTCTCATTAGTACCCTGTAATTAGAGGATCATTTATAGTGTAGTTAACATTTTGGGAACCAGTTCTACTCATAATAACCACTTATCAAGCTTGGTGGTCCCACGACATAACTATTGAAATAATTATTAAGAGTCAGGTAAAAGACTATATATGCAACAGTAACACAATACACTAAGGCAATTACAGTGCCTAGGACAAAATAGCTCCTCAAAATTTATTTCCTGAATTGAATTAGATTGTATAAACTCTTGACAAAACCTAGATCAAGAAGGCACCTCTAGAGATTGGTATATCCAGCTTCTCTGTCTCTTGACTGGTCTTCACCTAAACTAGCAGCTGGTTGTCTCTATTTTTGTATGATGATGATCAGGATAACCCAGCCTTCTGGAAGGACCTTGACAGTCTGGTTGAGTTGTGTTTCATTAAAGAATGCTGTAGTACTTTTTATTCCACTAATATTCCCATAGAATATAGATAAAGTATTTGAGTCTTGAAGTTCATATCTATCACTGTGACACATGGCTAAGGGTTGGCCATTAGCTCTTCATTTGGAATTCACTCCCATGAAATATCTGTGAAACTCAGGTTAATTATGGCTGAGGTCTTCTCCTTTCACTAAAAATATGTCAATGAAGCAAGGAAGGCCCGTGAAATACTTTCACTATGAAGTCACGGGAATGTGGTTTATGTGAAAAAAAAAAATCATAGAATCTCTGAGTTGTATGGGAACTCTGAGGTAATTTGTGGTGACCTGTACTTAACCAAGAGTCCCCTTAACCTCATTCCCAATAAGTGATCACCGGCTTTACTTGAAGGCTTCTAAGGATGGGGAACTCATTACTCCACAGGTATCCCCTTCCATCTTGGGACAACTTTGTTGATTAGTAAGGTTTTTCTTGACACTGAACCAAACTCTGAGATCTGATGGGCAATCTCGAGAGGCAGCATAGTATAGAGGAAAGAGTACCGAGTCAGGGGTTAAAGGATCTGTTTTCAAATCTTGACTCCTACCTACTACCCATGTGAGCTTGGACAAGTTAATTAGCCTCTCTGGGTTTCAGTTTCCTCCTATTTAAAATGAGGCGTTAGGTCTAGATGGCCTCTGAGATCTCTTCTAACTTTAAACCTGTGATTCTTTGATGTAAGACAATGCTTAATTAATTGAATAGCTTAATGATCTAACATATGTAAGAGGTTGGGAAATTTCTCTATGTTCCTGAAGGAGAAAAGTAAGTGAGAACACAACTGATTTACAATAATAATGGCTTATGTTTTCACAGCATTTTGTGAGAGCTAGGGCTATCATTCTCTAACTCATTTTCTATACCAAACACCATTCTGAAGAACATAAACCCTGAGGGCAGACATCTCCTTTCACTATAAATCTCAAAAGGGCAAAAAAGTTAACTCAATAAAAATTTATTGATGACAGTTAATACCCATAAGACTAACTGGCTGAGACACAAGGCACATTATCAATCTCTTTCTCTAATGCAACCAATTAATTTATAATCAGTTGACATCTTAGTTAGTCATAAAACAATAACCACCACCACTAACTTCCAAACATTTTGGCAGCCTTAAATATTGCTAGTGAAACCCAGTGAGAAAGAGGAGAGCTGAAGTCTTGCAAATTTATATTGACATCTCTCTTAAACTGGGATTCCTCTGGTTATGAGAACATCTATCTTACTTGCTTATCTTGGAGGAAATTCACCATGGGACATCTGAATGGGAGCCTACTCTGAGTTGGATTTGGATTCTGGGAAAAAGAAAATTATACTAGGTTTGATGGAACTTGGTTAGAAAAGGAATCTGATAGAAGGGAATGAGGCTGAGAGATGACCTTAGCAGTTTGTTCTACTTGGAGTAAAAGGAGTATTTTCCTGTTCTGCATGTGATGATCAGAAAGGCCCCTATATGTATCTTATGTCAGACCAGTAATCTAAATGAAATCAATCCACTTTATAAATCAGCAGAGACATACCATTCACAGATAAATGAAGCAACAAGGATAATATGAATAGAGGATCCCTTGAATTCATAGAATACTTTTCTCCCAAGGAGCCATATTCAATATGTCAAGATTTTTCACACATAGCTCTTATTCTTTGAACTTACTGAATTAAAATTTCAGTTACAACCTTTATCCACTCACTCTCTCTACCCCCAGGGAGGGAATGGGTAGAGCCTTGTATTCCAAACATAACCCTAGGAAACTTGTGGAAATCCATCGTTTGTTTCCACCATCACTGCTAAAGAATTTTGATTATCTGGAGGGGGTGGTGAGCATATGTAACATAATCTTAAATTGGCTTGAGACCTAATCTCTGCTTTCCATCCTATTTTTAAAAAAAACCATACACATGTATGTCTCATGGCTCTCATAGAGCCAAAAGGCTCTATTTCCATGATCTATGCTTTGGAATCTTGGAGAATGCCATATTACATTCTACATCCACCAGCCAGTGGATGATTTTTTGGAATGATCAGGGTTATCAAGGCAGCATGGTGCAATGCATCTCCTGTTGAATTTGAAGTCACAGGACTTGAGTTTGAATCTCAGCTCTGTTACTTGCCAACTATATGACTTAACATCTCTGGGCCCCCTACATTTGTAAAGTGAGGGGGTTGTTCCAGATGACCTCCAAGGTCCTTTCAAGATCTATGATTTTAGGACTTTTTAAAGCAATAATTTATGAACATTTTTCTTTTTAAAAAAGGTGATATTTCTTAATGGTTTCCCCTCCCCTGCCAGCTCTGAACCATCCTTTCTAATAAAGAAGAACACTTAAGATAAATGAGCACATTGGCCATATCTGACAAAACATGCCTCATTCCATACTTAAGAGTCTGTTTAGAAGAGGGAGGTATATTTTATCATTGGTGATATTTTTTTTTGACCGGCCCAAACAAAGTAGAGACCTGGTAGTCATGCAGTTAAGTGAGCGGAGACAGTAAGAGCAGATGACTGAAATAAAAAGAAAATCCACTTTGGGCTAAGTGGGAGACATTGAAATACAGAAAACTGAATGAAGAACAATGATTCACAGAAGGAGTAGACATTTTTGCCATATGTTAATATCATGTTGAAAACAACATTAATTTCTTTAAAATTCATTTTCATTCTACATTTATTGATGTGAAATTCAAAGAATTAAAGAGAAAGCATCTATTCTGAGAAAATAAATGATCTCCACTTGATTCAATCACTGGCTGGAAATAGATAACCATTCATTCCATAAGACAGAAGGCACCAAAGAGTACATAGAACTGTCCTTCCCCTGCTCTTTCCCTTAAAGAGGGCTCTCTCTCAAGTAAGTAGAGAGGTCAGATCATCAGGTTTCTCCATTCCTGGAGAGAGAAGATCTGGGAATAGGATGAGAGATGAGAGATGAGTATCTATTCTTTAGAGCTGAGAGGAGAACTGAGAAGACTTCTCTGCCTTCTGGTGATACAAAGCCTTCAGGATGACTCACACATGATGTGGGCCAGATTCTCATTGCTTGGATCACAAGACCCAGTCAGTGGCCAGTGGAAGTCTGAAATTCCACAGAGCTGCTTAGGAGAATTATCTGGTTCTGGGATCTTTCCTTACCCTACAATATAGGATAATTGAGTCCAAAGGGTTAAGTTAATTTGAATGTCATGGATCTCATGAATATATATTGTGTCAAGGAAGACTTGAGTGTCTCTGAAGCATTAAAATGTCATGCTTTTAGCCAGCTCTCATTTAAAAAAAAAAAAGAACCCTACTATGCCCTGGTTGTTTTCATAAAGATTCCCTTTCATGTGGAGATAGTAACCAGAGAATAAGAGTCTATAATTCCTTAGCTCTCCCAAGTCAATGCTAAGCCTTTATTAAAATCACAAATTGGCTCTCACAGAGAACAGATTGTGATTTCAGTTTGTATTTATTTTGTCTCCATGTCATATTAGTCACCATGACCCATCTCCTGTCGTCCTAATTGGGCATAGCATTGATCATCCATGTAACCTGGTAGTAAATTTCTGCCAGTGGGCTTTTTCTATTTTCCTCCAAAAGAATAAACCATTTGGACCTGGAATAAGCCTCAGAAGTGGTCATCTAGATTAATGCCCTCGTTTTACAAATGAGGATCCTGAGGGCCAGAGTCACACAAATGAAGGCAATAAATAACTGAGCCAAGGTTAGAGCCCAGGTCTTCATACTCCAAAATTAGCATTATTTTCAGTGTACCACAATAAGCTATATTTAGCCAAGAGTTACGCATACTTTGGAAACAAGTATATCTACTTCTGCACACATTCAGACAGGCTCACATCTTAAGGGTCATCTTGTCTAACCCTCTCATTTCATAGCTCACAGGATCATAGCTTCAGAGTTAGAAAGGACCTTCTATCTCTATCTATTCAAAGGTGAGTAAGCTGAGAGCCAAGAAGGTTAAGTGACTTATAGGATCATAGATTTAGAGCTGGAAGGGACCTGAGAGGCCCTCTGGGCCAACTCTTCATTTTATACATGAGAAAGCTGTGGCACCTACAAGTAAGTGATTCACCAAAGTTCATAGAGGAGGCAGGATTTGAACCCAAGTCCTTTAACCCCAAAGCTAGTGCTCTTTGTATTGTACCACGCTATCTCAAAGGTAGAGAGAAGGATGAACCAGGAGCAGTGAAAAGGCAAAATATTACGAAGGAAAATTCCATCCCCAGATGGCTTCCTTTGCCAACTCCCCTCTGAAACATCATGCTTACTTGAAGGTAAGCAATCTCAGAGACTTAGGAGAGCAGCCAGTGGTGAACCCTATGGTTCAATCATTTGCAAGCACACTCTGCAGTTGGAAATCCACAGAAGCAAACTTCCGACTTTAGGAATTAAAATTTCGGGACCAGGGAGAAGGTAACTTACTGAAGTAGAAACCTCTTTCTCCGCAAACAAACTGAAGGGCGTCCACCAGCTCGGCGCCGCAGAGCGTCTCAGGCCCTGCTGTGGCAGAACTGGTCAAGGTGAGCAAACACAGGGCCAGGTAGAAGAGATGGATGGAGGACACAGTATGCATCTTCACCTGCCAAACAAGCAGAAAGACTGTCATATTTCCCCACCTGGGTTGAGGGGTCCAAAACCCCAGCATTCTATGAGGGGCAATCACAGAGGTATGGTAGTTTGCTTGACAAGGCAGGAACATGAGAGAATAGACCAAAAGCTAGCAAAGACTTCAGAAGCCATCTGTTGCAGCTGGGGGAAAATCACGGCTCTCTGTAGGTGAGAGACATGGCCCCAGGTAGGGATGCCCAATGACTTGGGTGACTTGTCAAAGAAACACTTCAAATGCTATCTTTTTTTTTTTTTTTGGTGAGGCTTTCTGGGGTTAAATGACTTGCTCAGGGTCACACAGCTGGTAAGTGTCAAGTGTCTGAGGTCAGATTTGAACCCAAGTCCTTTTGACTACAGGGCCGGTGCTCTATCTACTGCGCCACCTACTGCCCCAGGATTTGAATTCACAGCCTTTGACTTCAGAGCTAACATTCTTTCCATTGTACCCTGCTCATGTTTTTGGTCTTCTCAGTAAACTGGCATTCTAGTGCCATGTTTAATTGGCACTTTTGCACAGGTCAAGCTTGGGGAATGAACTTCTTTGGGAGGAAGTAGGGATACTTTTCATGGGAGATCTTCAAGGAGAAGCTGGAGGCCCTCTTGTCAATGATATCTCGAAGGGGATTTGAGTTCCTGCATGAGCTGAACTACATGGTGCCTGGGAGCTCTTCCAATCAGGCATGTGCTGGAGCCAGCTCAAACTGGTTTGTGAGAGCAGATTGTTAAATTTTCAGTGTGAGCATTTATACCTCAGAAATCAGAAACACTACACATTTGGTCTTGATTCATTGTTTTGCAGCTTATCTGCACTTAAGAAAGGGATGGAGAAAATGTTCGTGGGTGTAGGTTATACTTGAAAGTGTGTTCTGTGTACATTTTTTCCCCTGGAGAGCTGGTCATTAAATATTTACCAGAACACCCCTACTTCCAACTCCAAGATTATGTGATGATAATTGATCATTTTAGAGCTGGAAGATAGGTGGGAGGTCATCTAATCCAACCCCTGCGTATGATAGATGAAGAAACTAAGGGCCATAGAGGTTAAATGACTTGTCAAGGTCACAAAAAGAAGGACCAGAGAAGTTCTTAATGATTACTCTGCTGTGCCTTCTAAGATCACATTGTGTCCTGTTTGGTCTTGACTACATTTAATTACATTAGAATGCTTTGAAAATAGGTTGTCTGTGTTTGTTGTCTACGACAACTCTCTATGAGCTAGAATGTGTGATGACCTAGAACATTTCATTCCATTCCATTCCAAGAATCTACTCTATCACTAAAGGTCTTGCAATGATGTTACAAATCTCCATATTTTTCCTGTTTTTTTTTTTAATAAGATTTCTTACCTGTGAAATACTGGCAGTTATCACAACCAAGGAAAGATGGTACTGCAGGTGGGGGAGGAGAGGGACCAGAAGCCATAAAATATGAGAAATCAGAAATGGCATTGGATCATTATAGCTAGACTTCTTTTGGGTGTGAATCTTTGATTTTATTGCTATAGGGAGCTCCTCATAAGGAGCATGAGCTCTGCAACTTTGAGTCGTAAGGTGTTGCCCGAGGCACATAGAATGACTTGCTCAAGGTAACACAATCAGCATGTGTCAGAGAAAGGACGAGGCTTCCTGACTCATAAATCTGATCTCTCTCCTCTATGCCATGCTGCTCCAAATGGATTTCTACTTCTGAATTCTAAAGTCCATTTTGTCCAATCAGAATTGAATCGATAAATTTTTAGCGAATGCCTACTGCATAGGTGGAACTTGCCTTTTTTTTTTTCCTATGGGGTTCCCCCCCCCCCCCGCAACAGTTTTCCCGTCACCCTTCGGAGGCCCTTATGTCATCAAATCCATTTTATAACTAAATAAACAGAAGGACCCCCCAGTGATGGGACTTAACCAGTCATAGAGAGAGAGACAAAATAGTAACCCAGTCAGGAAATGGATTCCTGAGGCTTGAGTCCCAGGTCTATTCTCAAAAAGAATAAAACCAATTTGAAAATGATCATTTGGTTTTCCATGGTGTCAGCTCATGTCTCAAAGCTTTGGCTCTTCCCAAAAAGTCTTCAAATTTAAGAAGCATAACTTCCCTCTTGGTCTTATCCAACATCAGTGAAATCAGAGGGAGACTCTGCTGGGACAGTGGGTAAAATGAATTATGTCTCCTGGGCAGGTAGGACCTGGAGCAGCAACTGGAAGCCATCATTCTAAAGCAGGCTTCTCTGAACCTCATCACAATGTCATTCCCATCCAACCCCTTCCCCTTTGAAGACCTGGATGAAATCATTTATTTCCTGACCACTGCCTTTGCACTCCGTGAACTCTCAACTTAATAGCTTGACATCAGTTGCAAAGTTTGCTAGGTCATTTTAATTAAGATTTCCATGTTTGTGGCCAGACTTTTTATTCCTGCACTTGGCAAAGAACCCAAACCCTTGACTCTCATTAACACAGCATAAATATTTAGCAAATGCTTGTAAAATATACGGCAATGCATTATAAATAACCAACATGAAATGGAAGAGGTGGTGAAGAGAAGGTTGAACATTTCTTCCATTTTCTCAATGGCACCTCTAAATGGAAACCACCCACATATCTAAATCCACTGAGGCTAGAAGAAACAAGAAAACATACAATTTCCATTTTCTTGCTTGGAAATTTTTTTCTTTTTCTTCCACTTCCAATAGAAACCCCAACAAATGCACCCCAAACATAACCCAATGTGACTTCAACACTTTCTTGAAAAAAGAACATGCATCTTTGAAACATCTTGGAAGACACACCACTGTCTGGGTATGGCCCTTTCTAGAATCCATACTTTCTAACTCATTTCTTCTCCCCACTTCACTCTTTTTTCATCCTTTCCCCTCTTTTATTTCATGCAACTCTGTTCTCCCCAGATCTTGAGTTGATAGGTCAGGCACCTGTAATCACAATTGGCTTTTAATTCCTCACTTCTTCAAAAAACATACATTGGAAAAATTGTTCACCACACAGCCTCAACGGACTAAACTCTAGCATATGTGTGTATATGATATGTATATATGTGTGTGTATATATATATATACACACACACACACACATATAAAATATAATATATGGCAATACACATACATCATATACATATATGCCACACACATACACATGCATACATACACATATGTACAGATATATGTATATACATGTCAGAACTTTATGTCTTTAACAGCTCATTCAGATAGAAAACGCTAAGGCCAGTTATAAGCATAAATCTCCAGTACTGAACAACTTGGGCTTTTCAAAGTTTTCAGCTGGGTTACATTGTAAGATAAACATCAGCACTTTAGTCCTAGGACAAGATAGATCCTCTAGTGGTTTTTCCTTTAATGAAGGCCAAGGGAACAGTCCAGTACACCCACAGAGAGAACCCAAAAATTTATCCACACAGTGTTCCAAAAAAGAAAACAATAAAGAGCTTGCCTGTGAGTGAAAAGTTTGAAAGAAGTTGACTCATATGTTCATCATTTACTGTGGCTCCTTTATTTTACCAAAAGGAAGAGAGAAAAATGAAAGAAATAAGAAAGGAAAAGAGAAAGAAACTCAGGGGAAAAAAAAGAAAGGGAGAAGAAAGAAAAAGAAATCTAAACTAAAAACACCATTCCCTCAAAAGTCCTTCAGGAGCCCAATCTACAGAGTAAACTTCTTTGATCTGAATTTTAATTAAATGGCCCCTCAATTGATTCAAGATGTCTGGGCTCCAGTCAATGGGGCCAAGGAAATTGCAGGGTAATATTCATAAGAAAATACTCACGGAGGTGTGACAATTGGGTTGCAGATCTTTTACAGCAGGTCAGGGTGGGTATTATGTGGCTGATGTGAATTGAAAGCTGAAGACTTTAAGAAACATGTGCTGCTCTGTGGGTGGGGTTTATGAAAGCATCTAGTTACATTTGGACACCCAGGGCAGGTATACCAGGGGACTGGGTAAACGGCCTTTTGTCCATTCAAACACTGGGCTCACTACACAGCTGGAATTCCAGTGGGTCCTTTCCGTCCCCCACCCCTACTCCCCCAGTAAAGGGGGTTCCCATTGCATTCCGATTACAGCAGCACAGAATTGGGGCAGGTCAGTCAAATGGTAAGAGCGCCTGGCTTACCTTTTTCACCTCTTCCCTCCTGACTCCACTATTTGGAAATGTTTGGAGTCATGTGGAGTGGGAGGTGAGGTGGGGGGGTGGGGCAGAGAATTAAGCCCGTGAGCAGGACCCTGGTGGCTCACTCCATTGCATCTTAAGGTTGGAGCCAAGTCATTTACCCAATTTAGGTATAGAGGGAAAATAGTGACTCCCCATGGGTTTTTCCCATCTCTGAAAAGTGCCCGGCACATAGAACAGAAGGACTTGGCAAGTTGGTTGCAAAAGGACAAAAGTTACGCCAACATGTAGGTACGATGTAATGACGTGGACTCTGCCACATGCCACATGCCACATGCCTGTGTGTTGGACAGGAACCCAGGCAAAGACAATTGGTTGCTTTTCATGCCTTTTATAACACTGCTATGCTCAGGGTCAAAATTGATGAGTCCCCTCCAGGGGGTCAGGACCGGGTGCCCCCCCGCCCCGCATGTGGGTCCCAGAAATGCCCAAGTCCCTGACCTGTCTAATGAAGCCTCCCTCCCGCCCCTGTCCCCCTCAACCCCTTCGGTGTGATGATTGAAAGAACGGTGAATGAAGGTTGCCTTTAAGCAACAACTACCATTTATGAATTGAGCTGCGAGGCAATTACAGCTCTGGCGGTGGTGGTGTCCCCGACACAAAAGTGTCAGCAAATTGAAAAAACACCCGTCTCCAAGGCTCTGATTGTGTCAGGAATGGAAACTTGAACCGGGGCCAGGGGAGAGGAGCCGAGAGAGAGGTCAGTGCATCCCCAGCAAGCCAGGTTTACCTACTCAGAGCCCTGCCACCAGCGAGCCCGAAGGAGAGAGAGCTCTCTGACATGAAACCCCACAGCTAAACTTTCGCCTGCAGAAGCCCTCCCCAGTAGGGAGAAGTTGGACAGGCAGCTGCTGGAGTAATTTCCGCTTTCCTTAAACAGTATACATTTGCTCTGGTCTATAGGAATATGCAAGGTCAGCAGGAGTCGCAAAGGTTGATTTCCCAAAAAGCCGACTCAATTTCCCTTTAACTTCGAATGGCTGAAGTCGGAGGTAAGTGCATACATGGCTAACACCAGGAGTTTAGCCACCAAGATAATATGCAAAAGTTCTAACATCACCCCCTGGGTGCCACTCAGGACACATATGCCGTGGATCACAGTCCCAGTCCTGACAAAGTTGCCAAGGCAAGTCCCTAGGGTTCAAAGGATAACATCTGCACCTGCAGAAAACAGCTGGGACTTTCTCTTCCCCGGGGGGGGGGGGGGGGGGTTCACAGCCTCTGACTATAGATAAGATGCAAAGGAATCTCCAACAATGATATACATGAAAGCTTGCAAAAGTGGAAGTCAGTCCAAGTACCTGCAGCAGTTTTCCTCATCTCTGCTTGTGGAAATGCAACTTATTCCCCAGAGCTATTTTCTAGACCCCCTCCCCAACGAAATTGCACAGTCAGCAGTTTGTAAATTACCGTCTCCCCCTACCCCCCAGAAACAATGTAATTTACAAGTGAATACCACTCCCAGGCAGAGGGCATGCAACACACCAAAAATTGAAAAATATAATCCAATGAAATAAAATACCCACATGCTTGCGAAGAGTAAGAAAGATTTACCTTTAAGAAATCACAAAGGCAGCACTTAGAGAATTGTGTTGAAAGACTGTTGAATTTGTCCATTGCTTCTGAAGTGCAAAGTCTGAAAATGAATTGGTGAGCAGTAATAATGGGAGAAGAGGAATCCAGAGAGATGGGGAATTTGTCGAGAGCTATGTCACATTTCAATTTTGAGGACTTTATTCCATTGCGCAGGCTCTAGCTGCTCTGAATTTAGCAGTGACAGTGAGATTTAGCAAACAGAAGAGGGATTTAGAGAAAATCCTCACATTTATCTACAAAACACAGACACTGTAGACAGGAAACAGCTGGGGGAACATTTGCCTTCTCTCTCTCTCCCTCTTCTGGCAAAGTTATCAAGTAAGGACTTTTTTGGGCATGGTGACAAATAACATCATACCTTTGCATTTTAAAACTAGAGCACAGAAGCATTCCCCCCCCCCCCCCCCGAAAAGAATGTGTGTTAGTGGTAGGGTTAGCAGACATTAAAATCCTCGGGCTGCCACAGAAAACAAGGAGTTGTATGATAATTAACCCTTCCCGTGGCCGAGAAGCACATTTGCCCGTACACCTTAGTAGCTTCTCAAGAGCAGAAAGGGGTGGGAGGTGGGGGGTGACGGAAGGGGGGGGGGACACGGGGTGCCTTTGTCTCCTAGCGCAGAGAAAAGATTCTCTCCAGGCAGGCAGCCTTCCAGGTTTAACCATGAAATGACCAAAGAGGGGGAGAGGAAGCTGGCTTCCCAGCAGCTGCTGCCCCCCGGTGAACCCTCACTTGTAACACACGGGAGCAAATACCTCGGTGAGCTCCCAGCAGCCACGTGAGGGGGAATGATCTCATTTCCTAGAACCTACATAAGGGAAATGCAGCGATGCAATCGGCCTACTTTAGGTCACTGTCTCATGCTCTTTGCCCGGTATCCTGGTGCTGGGCTGGACAGCCAGCCACAAAGAAAAATGAAAGAAAGAAAAAAAGAAAATTTCCCTTCTTTCCTTCCTTCCTCTAATTAGTAGACTGCCTGACTACTCCCAGACAGGGCACCTTAGAGCTCATTATTTTCCCCGTCTTTCTTTCCCCTTGCCTACCTTGACCTTCTTTGGGGATTTTTTTTTTGCCCCCCTCCAATTTGTGTATATTCTGAAATAACACCAGCTGGCCAGTAATACCCTCTCCAGGGTTATGATGTCATGCAAATCCCTCCAGTGTGCTAGTGGTTTTGCGGTGTGCTCCGAAGCCAGCTGTTTTTCTATTTATAATATATACTTTGCATCTCCACTCTTGGCCATTGAGAATCGGGTTGTGATATTTTATAGACACGATTTGTCCTGCTCCTTAGAGACAGGGGAGATAAAAGGAGGGGGATTATGGAACAAGGTGGGAAAAACCAAGAGAAGAACTCGAATCCTTCCCTAGGAATAGGGTCTGATTGATTTCTAGGGACCCTTAAATGGTCTGGAGTTTGAAGTTATAGCCTTGAACCGACTGGGGGGCTAGTTTGGCCTTCCAGCCTCTCTTGTGGAATAATGTTCTTTTTCCAGAGGTGGGCTTTATTTTTGGCTTACAGACCTTTCATCCAAGGGAAGCTCAGCAGGTTTTGAAAAACGGGTTGATTCATGCTTTCTGAGTGGTTATGGACCCCATAGCAATTATCACTTTTTGAAATCTAAGGCTTTTAAAGCTGTGGATTATTACTCCAGCAGCCCTAAACTGGACCTCTCCAAATTTAGTGATGGGTTCATGTCTAGTACAGTAAGAGAGCCCTGACTGTGGAGCCAGAGAATCTGAGTTCAAATCCCACCTCTGCTACTTGTTACATGTGTGACATTGGATAAATCGCTTCACTGTTCTGGGCCTCAGTTTCCTAATCTGTAAAATGTGTGTGTGTGTATGTGTGTGTGTGTGTGTGTGTGTGTGTGTGTGTGTGTACTAGAAAGCATTTAAGGTTCCTTGCAGGTTGAAATCTGTAATCCTGTGTGACATTATTATTCTAAATGGAAGAAGGAGTGACAGCTCTCCCATGTCAGGTTTTGAGGAAAGGACCAACTCTCACTGAATAGGGCAATCTGGGCATAGCCCATTTTTTTAATATGAGGCAATGTGGTAGATTGGAAAACACACCGACTCTGGAGTTGTTTCAGTCTTGTCCAACTCTTTGTGATCCCATTTGGGGTTTTCTTGGCAAAGATACTGGAGGGATTTGCCATTTCCTTCTCTGGCTCATTTTGCAAATGAGGAAACTGAGGCAGAGTCACATGACTTACCCAGAGTTACACAGCTAGTAAGTGTCTGAAGCCAGATTTGAACTCAGGAAGATGTGTCTTCCTGAGGCCAGGCCTAGTACTCTATATACTGCCTCACCTAACTGCCCCCCCTGGAGTCAGAGGACCTGGGTTCAAATCCTACCTCTGATACTTGCTACCTGACACACCTGAGGAAAATCACTTAAGTCTTTGGGCTTCAGTTTTCTCAGGTGTAAAAGGGTGGTGGGTAGGTGGGCTAGAGAGACTTTAATAAAGGTCCTTGCTTAGCTCTAAATCTATGATCCCATGAACGATGATGCTGTTGATGAGGGGGAACTCCTGCTTTGGAAACTTCCTCTGTGGACACAGATTGGCATTTGGTCTGTAAACTATGGTCGTGAAATAGGGATTCTTAACCTGAGGTCTGTGAATTAAAAAAAAAAAGAGATCCACAGGCTTCACTAATCTTCCAAGCTATATATGACACAAAAAAGATTAAAAATTCCTGTTAGGGAGGGTTTTTTTTGGGAGTGCCAAGAAATTGTAACTCACCCTGGGTCACTCAACCACTAAGTATCTGAGTTGGGATTCCAACCCAGATCTTTGTGACTTCAAAGGCAGCTAGGGGGCACCTTATCGCACAGAGCACTGGGCTTGGAACCAGAAAGCCTCATCAACCTGAGTTCAAATCTGGCCTCAGACACTTACTAGCTGGGTGACCCTGGGCAAGTCACTTAACCCTGTTTGCTTCAGTTTCCTCATCTGTAAAATGAGCTGGAGAAGGAAGCGGCAAATCTCTCCAGTATCTCTGCTAAGATAACTCCAGTTGGGATCATGGAAAATGGAATACAACTGAAAACAAAATGACAACAACAGAGTTCTTGACTCCAAGGCTGGCCTTCTATCCACCACGCTCTATCAAAAAATCATGGCAATTTCTTGGCAAAGATACTGGAATGGCTTGCCATTTACTTCTCCAGCTCATGGGTTAAGAGGCGTCACCTCTGACACATTCTGGCCTTCTGACTTAGAGCAAACCATTTTATGTCTCCAAGCCTCTTCTTGTCCATCTGTCCAATGGAGAGGTGAATTCTTCCATTTCCTTCTTCACAGGCTTATAATTAGGAAAGTGTTTTGAAAGCTTTAAGATTGTATAGAAGGAGGAGGCCTCTCTTATTGTCTGCACAGGGTCGCACTCTCCATTTTATGGAGTATTAACAAAGGCTGGAGAGACAATGTTGTCTAGTGGATAGAAGGCTGACCTTGGAGCCAAAAAGACCTGGGTTTGAGTCCTGCTCTGAAACATGACTGTGTGACCCTGGGCAAGTTACTTAACTCCTCTTTGCCTCAGTTCCTCATCTGTAAAATGGGGACGCACTAGAGAAGGAAATTACAAACTACTCCAGTATCTTTGCCGAGAAAACTTCCTCCATGGGGTCACTTAGACTTGAACATCACTGAACAACAACAACAGAGATGGTGAAACTAAAGCTCAGAGAGTTTAAATAATTTGCCTTAGGTCACACAGCTTGTAAGAGTCAGCGGTAGGATTCAAACCCCAAGTTGTCTTAACTCCACGTCAAGTGATACTAAAGTGCATGAAAGACTGGAAAAGAGAAGTAACCTTTTAAAGCCAGAGAGCAAGTTTATCTATCCTGCCGTACGTATAGAACAAGTATCACTGGCACCATAGTGGGGACTTGGGTTCAAATGCCTTCAGTGTCACCTACTATCCCTGTTTCACTTCGGGGAAGTCAGTTCACCTCTCTCTGCCTCAGTTTCCTCAACAGTAAAATGAGGAGACTGGTCTAGATGGGCTAGATCTGAGGTCCCTTCCAGCTCTAAACCCATGATTCTTTGGACATACCTAATCCTCAACGCTGGGCAGCTAGGTGGCGCCATAGTGCCTAAAAAAAGTGGGAGTCTGAAAGTCTCATCTTTGTGAGTTCAAACACTTACTAGCTGTGTGAGGCTGAGCAAGTCCCTCAACTATTAAAAATAGTATGTTTCTTTGTGCCCCCAACGCTTCATCTTGTCACCTGCCTCTGAAACACACCTGAATTTTTTTCAGAAATGGGTCACTCTCTCTCGATCCCCCTCCCCTGCCTTTTGGCAAAATATTTAACTACAAAGTCAAAGATCTGGATTTGGTATTTCTCCAGTCAATTATTTCAATAGACTAATTCAAGCTAGCTCTCAAATGAGAAGCAAATCCTTCAGTGGGAGTTCGAGAACCTGGGCTCAAATCTCTGCTCTGCTATGTGCCACTCTCAGGCAAATTGCTTAACCCATCTGGGTCTCAGTTTCTTCATCTACCAAATGGGCAGCTTGGACCAGGTGATAACTGAGGTCCCTTCCAGTTCTAAATAGTATGATCTTGTGCTCCACGTCTGGGTCAGGGGCAAACCGGAGTCTCCTTCTTTGGTGTGTTGTTCAGCTCTCTTACAGAACACACAGTCTGCCCTCTGTTCCCTATTGTGATTCCCACATATTTTAATCTTTCCAAGATGTTTGAAAGAGCTCACAAGCTTATTTGAAGGCCTGTAACCAAGTCGGCTGTGATCTCTCAGAATTCACAGTGTGCATATCACCTTACCCCACCGATTTAATAAATGTTGCTTGGGAAGATAGAAGGCCCCACGTACTTGATCAAAGTCCTGGCCTCCTTGGGTCCTGACACACCAGCTCAAGAAGGCCCTCCATTTCATAGACCCAATTACCTTAAGGGATAATTGGCTTTTAATTTATGCCCCCTTGAATCAAATAAAACCGAAATTACAGCAAGCTGTAACTGTCATCAGCTTTTCTGGTGGAAACATTTAGATGCTGGAGATCAGTTTCCAATAGGGAAAGCAATTTCCTGTAGTGATTATTGTATATTTCAATTTGGAAAATGGTCCACATTTCTGCGTAGGGTGATATGAATATGTCACAGTGTAATAACTACTGGAAAAAAGGTCCATTTTTTCCCCTGGCAAATTCCAAGAACAAAAAATGAAAAAACCATAAGCAATAAATGTGTCATATGATTACTCGTCAACATTTGGATACTTACATGGTGACGTGCCCCTGTGGAAAATAACAACACGCATGTACAGCACCACCACCACCAATGATATAAAAGGCTACCTTTAGAAACTGGAGATTCCAAGGTAGACACACGTCTCAGTTCA